GGAAATTTCTGTTGCCAGGTCCCCCCAACTACATGTTTATTACATTTTGATTAAATACAAGAAACTATATGTTTACAAAATTCAGAAGTATCAATAAGATAAACCTGTATTTATACTTTCCTCACAATTTCTCATTTTTTCCCCATTCCTTCCTCCCCCAAAATTCCAGTTGCTATAAATGTTACCCAATGTAAATCATCACATTGAAAGATTGTTGCTATCTAACTAAGTTGAATAGATAAGCACCCCACAAGCCAACTGATGAAATGTGTCACACAGTGAGCAAAAATGTTCACAGTAACCTGATTCAACATAGTACCCAACTGGAAGCAATTCAATTACCCATCAATGGCAGAATGGATAAACAAGTTATACTATATTCATACAATGGGCTACTATAGCAAACATTGAATGATAGGGTTGAAACACACACACACACACACACACACACACACACACACACACTCTCTGTAGGATTCCAGTTATGTAAAGCTGCATAGAGGCGTGAGTGATCCACAGCAGCAGACAGCAGGATGGTGGTGACCCTGGTGTGGGCAGCAATTGGAAGGGCACCCTGAAGTGGTATCAGGGACATTCTCCATCTGGCTATGTGGTCTGTTAACTCTGTGAAAATTTCACTTGGTTGGAGCCTGCCCTGTGGTCTAGTGGGTTAAACTGTTGCCTACAGTGGTTATATCCCGTATGAGTTCAAGACCTGGCTGCTCCACTTCTGATCCAACTCTATTAGTGCAGCTGGGAAACCCAGCAGAGCATGGCCCAAGTGCTATGGTAGGGCCCCTGTCCCCATGTGAGAGAACACCTGGCCCAGCCCTGGTTGATGTGACCATTTGGGGAGTGAATCACAGAGGATAGAAGATCTGCCTCTCTGTGTTTCCCCATCTCTCTGTAACTCTGCCTTTTCAAGTAAAATAAATCCATCTTTAAACACAATCATCCAGCTGTGTACTGACGTGTTTACTTTCGCTGAATTCAGTTTATGGAAGTAGAAAGCTTGTTGAAAGGCAGTGTTAAGTGAGGATGGCCAACACGGTCACAACCGCCCACTGGAGACTTCTTCAGGAGGAACGTGGGACATAGTTGCACCAGACTGCTACAGCTACCATTCACTTCTCATCCTGGAATCCCTCTCCAGGCCAGGGAAGACATGAAGGGCAATACAAAGAGGTGGTGGTCTGCTTTCACATGGTTTTGATGTTAATGTGGCCATAAAGCTGCCAGGAAACCCAGCATTTCCCAGGAGAGGCCAGTGGCAGCTGCCACCTGCTACACTGTCATGGAGGAGGGTAAAGCTGGCCAAGGAATGTTTGAATTCCAGGTGTCTGAATTCAGGGGCCAGGACAGGACAGGGGAGTTCTAGTGGCCCAAGCATCACCCAAGGATGACCCAAGCTCAAGGCCAACAAGAAAGTGGTAACAGCAATGATGGCAGCACCGCAGATGCGAGCAGTCAAGAGGCAGCAATGACCTTCAATGACCTGGGCTAGCCACACCTGTGGAGCCTGCCCACCCAGCCTGAGCCCACATACTTCATGAGGGTGGTTTTATGAACCCTTTCCTCTGCCTGGGAACGAAAGAAACATTGTGATGAGACAGGTGAAGAATAAGAATAAAAAGAAGAAGAAGAAAAGCAGCAGCAGCAGCAATGTTGGCCCTCCTCAGACTCAGAGGTCCCTCAAGCCCCCAAATAAAAATGGGAGTGGGGACTGAGAAGCCTGAGCACCTGCTCTCTCTCTCATCTGGTGAGGGAGAGGACAAGAGAGAAGATTCAGGAAACCCAGCTTAGACAGAGCAGATCATCAGGAACAAGACACTGCTCAGCTCACACTGGCATTATGAGGTCCTGTTTTTTTAAAAGTCAAACCCCGGGTTGACTTCATCTGCTTCTGCTCCATTAGCAGAGAGTCAAAGCAGCACATAACATGGAACTGATGGAGGAAGCAAAGCTGGAGATTGGAGATGCAAAGGGAAGAATCCTGGCTCCTTGTCTGGGCTGGGGAGGGGTTAGGTCCATCCTGCGCTTTGACTTGTCACTCACGTGAAGCCATGTGACAGAGACCTTCCAGGGAGAGGAGGAGAAATCCAGGAGACAAGGACCTGGAGAAGCTTTGCAGGGGGAGGAGTCAGGGAGGGGGCCAGGAAAGTTAAAGCAAGGGACCAGTGGTGTGGCATAACATGTGAAGCCACTGTTATCCCATGTGGGAGGACAGTTCAAGTTCTTGGCCAGTTCTAATCCAGCTTCTTGCTAATGCACCTAAGAAGGCAGAGCAGGCTGAAGCAAGTATTTGAACCCCTGCTACTGACATGGAGACCAGGATGAAGCTCCTGGCCCTGGCTTCAGCCTGCCGAAGACCTGGCTTTTGCAACCATTTGAGGAGTGAACCCACAGATGAAGACCTCTCTCTCTCAGCCTTTCAAATGAATGAGACAACAGCAGCAGCAGCAGGCGGCCAAGCAGAAGGAAAGGAAGGTGGCAGCCTCACTTTATATGCTGACCAGAGATGAGCTGGGAGGTGAGGACTGAGCACTGAATGGAAGGCACTGACATGTGGATTGGCACCAACCACTCTTATGGACATGAAATTCCTTCCATGCAGCAGAGGACAGACTTCTCAGGCCTGCTGACTGTCACACACGGAGCATTTCATCACCGTCACCTCAGAGGTGTTTGTGTATACTCTGCTTCCAGATGCCAGCAGCCCCCAGCCCCATGGCCAGACCTCGTCATGTGTTAAAACCAGCAACACCTTGCTTTGAAATCCCCCCTTCCAACCTGTGCTTACAAGCACAGCACCATACACAGCTGTCCTATAGCAGCCTTGGGTATGCAGTAGCACTCCCTGGCTCCAGAAAACACTGAGGCTCCCCAGCTCATCTCAGTCCTAAGCACAAAGGAGTCACCACATGCCAGCACAGGGGGAGTCCTAACCTGGGTAACCAGCGTGGCACTTGACCTGGCACTTAACCACCAAGGCTACCACAGATATGTCACCAGCAGCTCTGACTGGAATAGGTACCACCTGGTCATGGCCAACTGTGACACAGTCATGCACAGCCACGCCCAGGGGAGGAGCTGGCTGCTTCTCCTTTCCTGGGGTCATGGCTGCCACCAGCTTGGCCTCACCCAAGTCTGCTTTCCTTCCCTCTCTGCTCTTCCATGGGTTGCTCTGCACCAGGCTGACAAGCCATCTGCTCTATGCTTTGACTTTAGAAACAGTGCAAAGTCCTCTCCACCCTATTCCTCGCTCCGCTCTCTGCTCCTCCTGACTTCTCCATGGGGCAACACAGAGAAACCTAAAGTAAAGTTCTTGCTTCCAAAGACTTAGCGGGAGACTCTAGCATCACGACTTTGGTCCTTCCTTCATGGTAGAACCTAGCCCTGTAGGAGGAGAGAGCGCATCTCCATGCTAGCAGCTATACGTCACTGAGAACAGTAGCAGGTGCATGGTAAAAAAAAATGTGGCCTTCCAGCCTTTCCTCCCATCCCATGATTTTTAAAGGCTAAATAAAATGTCTCTGAGAATTTATAAATGCAGTGTTCATCAGCATAGCATTCACAAAGAAGTTGATATGAAAAGAAGTGATGGCAGAATGCTCAGAGGTACTTGAACTTAGACACAAAGAGATTCAAGAGCGACGTGAAGGATAAAATGGTCATGCAGCTCTCCCTCCTGGACCTGACTGGCTCTCCCACTCCTGCCGGAAGCCCCATGCCCACTCAGGGAGGAGGGGGCCGTCACCTCACAGCAGGGTGCATCCTGGAGCTGGGAGAAGGTGAGCTGTCCACACAACGCTCATCAGCCTGGACTCCCAGGTGAATTTTAGCTGCACCCTGCAAAGGGTGCAGAGAAATCCCCAGACTGAACTTCCCAAGACTTTGAAGAAAAGTCTCCAAATGAAAATCACTGTGCACTTGTGCAGTTTTAAGGAGTCTAAAACAAAAGAAAAAAATCGACTAAGAGCAATTGTTGACACCAACATCAAGAAGGAATAGAAGATGCATTAGTGCTGCAAGGACTGCAGGAACCATTTGGCCTACCCTCATCACAGTGCAGAGAAGGAAGCAGAAGGCACACAGAAGTTTTCATCGCTCAGGGGACACATGGAAACTTAGGGGCCAGCATACCAGTCACCACGTGCTCTCTCCCCTCTGCCCACAAGTCGTCAGGCAGGCTTGAAACCTGCCTGGGCAACGAGAATCACCTGGCTGGCCTGCCAGGTGAAGAACTTGGGCAAGCAAGACCTGCTGTGTCAATCTCAGCCTCACTTCTCACTGCCTGGGCAAACTGGGCACTTACGTGTACAACGAATCAGCACTCAAAATACCATGGGTCCCTGCCTTCTCCCAGCAATGAGCCTGCTACCCTAGTCAGCAGTGGACTCCACCATGAAAGAGCTGGGGAAGACCTGAGCCTAGCAGTCAGCCCCACTCTGGCCCCTTGTACCCTTAAGACCAGCACCCCCACCCCACTACCTAATCAGAGCATGTAGCCTCCCACAAGGGCGCTACGCGCAGCCAGCATGACCCACACCTCTTCCTTAATCATTTACAGCCACATGCAGTTTCCAAGACGCTGGCTGGGCTGGTTGGCTGGGGTTATCTTCTGACCTGAGAATGCAAAAGGACTCCATCCTGTTTAGCTGTCCCTTTCTGGAGACGGGCCGGCTACACTGGCTTCTGCTTTGCACACGCAGACTCCGGCTGCACCACTGTTTCCATCGTGGTGAGGAGGCGGATATGGCACAGACAAGTTTTAAGTTTCTGGGTGCTGGTGCCAGGGAGAATTGAGAAGATATAAAGTTCAAGTGCCTTCCAAGAAGCTCCTAGGCCACTCCCATCGCCTACAGACAATGTCCTCCGGAGCTGCCACCACACTCTACAGCTCCCAAATTCCCCAGGAGGGATAGAGAGCCGGCCCCAGCGACACCGAGCAATTCCGAGTTCCTCTCTCGCACCCAGCACCTCGGCACGGTTTTGGTCACCTGTGAGTTTCGTTGGGTTCCAGGCCATGTCCCAGATTGGCATCGGTCTGCACCATCTCCTGTTTCAGTTCTCCGATCTCCGAGGCAATTGTGTCAATAAGCTATTCAAAGACAAAAATAGTATGACATTAGGAAGTGAGGAGGCGTGGCATGACTTTCTTTTTTTTAAAAAAAAAAAATCTTGGCTCTGTGTGTTTCCTCTAACCAAGGAAAATCTCCTCTCAAAAAGAGGAAGAGCTTGGGTTTCGGTATTGTAATAAGGTGATGATTGTGACACACGGGCAGGCCTCTCCACATGAATGTGCGAAGGAAAACATACGTTCCAGTAAAGGCAGGCCAATCTGTCAAGGGAAACGGTCCCCAAACCAAAACTCATGCGGTCATATTACTGATTATAGAAATGAATAAGTGACAAGGATGCTGTGAAGATCTGGGTAAAAAGGAACTGTGGGTTCCACACAGAAAGGGAAGTGGAGGAAATGGAAAGGCTACTTGCCGAGGTGATAAGTTTACATGACAAGCATGTGTTGACCATTATACGACACACCACAAAGATGTACTACATATCAACAACAACAAAAAACTTAAGGGGCTGGAGCTGTATTACAGCAGGTTAAGTCACAGCTTGCACTACTGGCATGTCATATGGGCACCAGTTTGAGTCCCAGTTGCTCTACCTGCAATCCAGTTCTCTGCTAATGCACCCAGAAAAGCAGCGGAAGATAGCCCACGTGCTTAGGCCCACACGCCCCTGTGGGGGACCTGGAAGAAGTTCCTGGCTCCTGGATTCAGCCTATCACAGTTCTGCCATTGAGGTCTCTGGAAAGTGAACCAGCAGATGGGAAGTTCCTTTCTGTCTCTAACTCTTTGCCTCTACTTCTCTCTCTGTAACTCTGACTTTTTGACAAGTAGATTTATAGAAAGAATGAGAGAGAGAAGGGAAGGGGAGAAAAAGGTCATCCATCTGCTGATTCACTCCACAAATGGCTGCAACAGCTGGGGCTGGGCTAAACCAGAGTTAGGAGCCAGGCGCTTCCTCTGAGTCTCCCATGTGCGTGCAAGATCCCAAAAACTTGGGCAATCCTCTGCTGCTTTCCCAGGCCATCAGCTGGGAGCTAGATTGAACTGGAGCAGCTGGGACTCAAATCAGCAACCAATATGGTATGCTGGTGCTACAGACAGAGGATTAGCCTGCATGCCTCCATGCCAGGCCTGGTTCTCCGTAAGTTCTGAGATAATCAAAGGGTCCTGAGATGACAAAGTGTGAGGACCACCATTCTAGCTGAAGATAAGTGTTACGGGGTGTGAGCGAGAACACACCAGACATGTCTAAGGTTTATTAAGGAATCTTTATTAACCAAGCTTGGTGATTACAGAGCACACTAGAAATAGTAAATCACAAGTCCATATGGCAATCCAGCCAATCATAATCCAACCAAACATAACCCCAAGAGGAACAAACGGTCATTACCCTTAAGTCCATCTGTTAAGCTGAAGACCTATGTCCCAGCCTAACAATATGTTATTCTAAGAGGCACGTGATGAATAAACTGGACACACTTACAAAGCTGCAGACATCCACCTTTCCCTGACTTCTCTGCCCACATTCCATCATTGCTAGGCCTCAGCTCTCCCGGAACTGCTGATAAGTACACAAACCAGAAACAACACTGCTATAGCCATTGTCCCACCTAAGCAGTACAGGGGGACCATGCTCAGGGGATTACCTGTCCTGGGTCAGCCATGAGTAGAGTTGTCAGAGAAATGGAAGGGCCTGACCAGAAAGAGAGCTCCTCCTATGAGCCTTTTAAAGGGGCTTGTGAGGGGCGTGGTTACATAACAATGCAATACTGACCCTTTTCAGATGACGGATAAGTCACAGGTGGGCAGGAACGAATACCTAGGTGGTAGGGAGAGTGGCTGAGGATGGAATTAACATTCCATTGCTGTTAGGACCCACCTTCAGGACAGAGGGTAGGGGACACAGCCATATTGCATTTGCTCGCTGTCAATGGGTGCTGGCTATCACTGGCTGCACCCCATAGCAATAGGCTGTGTTTTATCTCCAGCAGCTTGTATCCCATCCGGATGCTGAGGGAGAGAGAGAATTCACGGTGCTTACAGCTTATTCAAATAAGTTCATCTCACTTCCAGTGTGCAGCCACTTAGCATGACACTAGCAACCCATACAGGCACCAGTTCAAGCTCTGGTGCTTCCCTTTTGCGCTAGCTCCCTGCTTTTGTGCCAGAGAAAGCAGTGGAAAGTCTGTCCAAGTGCTTGGGCCCTGCCCCCTTGTGGGAGACCAGGATGGGGTTCTAGGTTCTCAGCTTTGGTCTGCCACAGCCCTGGCTGGTGCACCCAGCTTGGGAGTGAAGTAGAGGGTGGGAAAGGAAAAACAAGGGTAGATTTGTATAGAAATGGAAGGAGATGGTGGCACAAAGGAGGCAGGAGCCAGCGGAGAGGTCTCTGTGACACTGCCCAAGCCCTCACTCCGGGCCATAGCCAAGATCCTGACAGCACACAGCCACAAAGCTGACAAGAAACAGAGAGCCCTGCTCCACAGAGGCCCAACCGTAGCCTCACACAAACCCTGCAGAGGATGCTGGCTCCAGCAGGAAGACCAGCCAATGGGCTCCCTTTGGGCTGCCATATTGAAGGGGCCCATGTCGCACGCGACATTCCCCAGAAGCTACCAGCCCCCTGCAGCCAGATACCTTCTGCAGATCCAGCTGTACCCAGGCCTCTGCTACTTCTTGAATCCCCCCCACCTCCCCGTCTCGGACCCTGGCCCAGCCTGAGAACCTGCCACAGGTGCCTGTCACTCGGATCACTCATATCACCACTTCTCTGGGGCACCCAAGAAAGCTATGGCGACCCCCAAGGCATGGCAGGGGATGTGCACTGATTGAGTTGTTAGGAGGACCCCTCCCCTGCCTATGGGTGGGGATTTTTCTCAGCCCTTTCCTTTCCCTCCCACTCACATCCAGCTGTCCTGACTCATCCAGCTGACCATATAGAGGATTTTCAGCACACCTGAACTACAGCTTAGAGCTCTAAGGGTGCAGTCCACCTCCTGGGACTGCGTTTACTATAGTCTGTGACCCCTTCCTCCACCACAAAGCCACCCCACCCTCCAAGATCATGCTCAAGTCCCACCAATCAGATGCTGAGAGTTCCCCACCTTGTCACTGATAAATCTGTTTCACTTGTAATTCCGCAGGTTCCTGATCTCCTCCCTTCTATTGGGTTCTTCTTTGAGGAGAACCAGAGATGTCTTTTTTTTTTTTTTAACCACAAGGATTTATTTGGTTTTTATTGGAATGATAAATTTACAGAAAGAAGGAGAGACAAAGATCTTCCATATGCAGATTCACTCCTCAAATGGCTGTAGTGCCAGAGCTGAGCTGATCCAAACCCAGGAGCAGGAGCTGCTTCCATGTCTCCCACGTGAGGCTTTGGCCCATCTTCTGCCTGCTTCCCAGGCCACAAGCAGGGAGGGAGAGTGAAAGGAGGTGGAGCAGCTCAGACATAGAGCCAGCATCCATATGGAATGTGGCACTTGAAGGTGGAGGATTAGCCAATTGAGCCACAGCACCATCCCCAACCTGCCAAGATACCTTGTCACCACCACAGATGATCATTTCTGCATCAGATTTAAAAAAAAAAAAAAAAGATGTATTTCTTTTTATTGCAAAGTCAGATATACAAAGAGGGGGAGAGAGAGAAGAAGATTTTCTGTCCACTGATTCATTCCCCAAGTAGCTGCAATGGCCAGAGCTGAGTTGATCCCAAGCCAGGAGCCAGGAACTTCTTCTGGGTCTTCCACGTGGGTGCAGGGTCCCAAAACTTTGGGCCGTCCTTGACTGCTTTCCCAGGCCACAAGCAGGGAGCTGGATGGGAAGTGGAACAGCTGGGATATAAACTGGTGGTCATATGGCATCCTGGCACATGAAAGGCAAGGACTTTAGCCACCAGGCTACCATGCTAGGCCCTAGTAAAACAGATTTTTAAAAAAAATTTATGTACTTTTGTTTTGTTTTGATATGTGCATTTTCTGTGAACTTTTTTTGAAGACCTCTCCTACTTTGGAAAGGCACATTCTGAACTTTCACAGGCTCTGCTGTCCATTGCCCTGTTAGGTGCCCAGGGAGGCAGGCAGGCACTTGTTAAGGTGGTGGCAAAGCTGCTTGCCTGTTACCATGTACAGGCAGGTGGCAGGCAAGACTCCAGAGTGCCAGAGCACAGAGCTGGTAAGACAGGTTCTTACACCAAAAACCCAGTGTGGGGAATTAAAGCACACAGAGACTTAACCCCAAACCAGGAGGCAGTACAGCCCTCAGCTGCCCAAACCAGTGCCCTTGCTATGGGTGAGCTTCCCCCCCCCCCCAGGAATCCACAAGAAGTCTTCTCTTATCTTTAAAGCTGGATAGCTGCAGGCATGGCTGGAAAATACCAGAAGGAGGAGGGGTCCTGGTGAGCTCAGGAGGGGAGGGAGGTAGGCCAGGGGTGCCTGACCTGGTTCTCTCTAGCCCCGCCCCGAGGTATTGGCCTGGGTGTGTCTGCAGGCAAACTGGCCTCCAAGGTCAGGAAGGGGAAGTGAGAATTGGGACAGCCCAGCTCCTTAATCCTCTGACATCATACCCAGGGCAGGGTTATGGAGGCAGGGGAATCTGCTCTCATCTGTACCATTTTATCACCACTCTGGGTAACTTCTCAGTAGGCAGGAACCTCCACCGAGCCGCAAGCCTGCACCATCTCGATGCAGTGCTCATGATCTGCACCGTTTCAATGCAGTCACTCTCGCAGCGCCTACCTGGCAGCGCACAGCTTTGGGCTGGGAGGGACTGGAGTTTGGGTCACTTGGACTGGATAGGGGAATGCCTGACTTCAGACAGGCCCAGCTCTGGCTGTTGTGGCATTTTGGGACGTGATCCAGTGGATGAAAGCTCTTTCTCTCCTCCTCCTCTCTGTAACCCTGCCTTTCTAAATAAATAAATAAATCTTTAAAAAATCTCTTCCAATCTCTGTATGTTACTGGCATGGGTTACGAAGTAGAGAGCAAATGCTACAGGAAGCCTGACATAGACTCCCACACCTGGT